GAATGCTTCTAGCTAAAAGATCAGTCAGTTTATTTATTTCCCCTGGAGAGCATTTTCCCTCTCTGAGGTGGTCAGACAGTTCAGAGGCTGTGGGTGCTAGTACAAAGATAAGAAAGTTTCTGTTGGTCTGAAAGGAAAGGAATAAATGAAATGTCACTGTGGTTCATGTAATGCAAGTCACATTTGGGATATTATGTGGGAAGCTTCTTATTGTCAACTTTTTTTGTTTACAGAGACTGTGTTACATAGATAAAGGTGTTTCAGCATTTGCTATTGACTGGATACATCAACATATCCTTTGGGCTAATAAACAGAAAGCAATCATTGAAGTGACAGACACCAATGGGAAAAAACGCCGTGTTCTTTTAAGAGATGCTGGTCATCCCACAAGGATTACCATTGATGCTGAGCAAAGGTAATTTTAACTAGGTTAGTAATGTTATTAAAATGGACTCCAAATTGTCTTGCAACTGTGATTTATGTCTAAGTCTATAGGGTTGGTTTGTACACATGTATTCTCTATAATCCAGTAATTCCTTGAACTTTGGCCACCTAGGATAAAAAGTTAATAATTGTATAAGAAATAGAGAAATGTGACTTTTTCTTAGACAGTGAAGTTTTAGAGCAGTGGGAAAGAAACTTTGAACAGCAGAAGAGAGTGTCCTTGCACATGGTGTGAGACCTTTGTGCTCCAGACCTGGCATGCTTGGAAAACAAATTGGTATGTATTCTGAAGAACTCTAAACTTGGTTTTCTCCTGTTTCCTTTGTACCTCAGTATCGACAAAGTCCGATACTAAAAATGTATTCTCCCCAATCTGGGCAACTCACACAAGTAACAGAGATTAGTGTGATATCTTAGAAACTTTTTCTCACAAGATGTGTCTGTTTAGTAGCAATAAGGTTATTTTAGTATTAATGTAATTATCTCTGTAAATTTTTTTTTCTGAATGGAGGTTAGATATGCTGAAAAACAAGGATTAAGAATTAAGAGCAGAGCAAATATAATAAAGGCTGTATTCCTGTTCTTATTATATCCTGCCATCCACTGACTTACACTGAAACTGTAATCACCTTTGTTTCTTACCTTCCCTGTTTGTAAAATGTGAATTCTAGTATCTGTTCAAACTTCCAGATTTCCTAAAGATTCTTAAAGAATAGATATTATAGAAATGCAAGCAATTATTAATCAAGTGTTAAACATGTAAGCAGAAAATCTGATGGACTTCCTTGAAACATGTCAGCTATATACTAAAAACTGTAATAACTGTAATAGAGTAGAAAAGCCGTAAGGCAGGGGCTTATTCTTCCTTGGTTAGTACAGCCCTTTGCTAGTGTGATCTAATCCATTTTAAATCCTGTCACATATGACTATCATAAAAATAGTATATCTGGCTATATGCTACGTTGGTTTGTACGTCTTAAAATTTTGTGAAAACAAGTGAAAATGTTAATGCTTTTTGGAATTTGTGTGTGTAAGTGTAAGAAACAAAAAACTCTTTAAACTCAATTTAAAAAAATGTGAAACAGGAATTTTGGAAGAACTTCTGCTAATCTTAGAGTCACATCAGTAAATATAGGTTCTGATCCATGAATAACTTAACATATAAGTAGTTTGAATGCATGATCGTTTTTGGTGTTGGAGCCTTATTTTGACTGTCCCCTACTTCAGTAGCAGCATAGTCTGGCTGCTCCAAGCAGCAGGGAGGCAGAAAGGAATGGCAGCAATAATAGAAATGGTATTAGTAAGTGCTGGACTAGAATTTTTGGAGATAGATTACTCCCTATAAGTAAAACATAGGCGGAGAGTAATGCAGATCTGCCTCATAAATGTACCATTTTCCAAGTTTGCTGGATTCCCTGGTAGGTTTGGGAGGCTGTCCCAGTTTCCCTTCCTGACTGCATGGCTGAACAAAGCAGGTACAGAGACAACAGGGCTTTGTGGTTAAGCTGCACTGATTCCTCCTTGACCTGTTTGAGATAAATTTCCAGTATCTCGCTGCTTCCTGGACTGAACTCTTCTGTCCGTAATAGGAACATATTTTGTAATATAAGAAAACAATTGTAGTAAAATTTTAGTGGTAACATTGCTTCTGTAAAACAAACCAAACTTTGTTTTCAGAAATTATTTCTAACTTTAAGAGTTCCATTAAGAGGAGATGCATATGGGGTTTTCCTTAAATAGGCTAGCATATATTAAGAAAGTTCATGACTTTATTAGTAGTTCTTATTCTGGAATCACTGTAATAAGAAAGAAAAATTCTGTATACAGAAGCAGCTATCCAAGTAGTGTACAGGAATGCAGCAATGATTTTTTTTTGGTCTGAAATATGCTTTTTTGCTGTTTGCAGAGTATTATTTTGGTCTTCAGATGATACTGTTTCCATCATATACCGAGTATCCCTTGATGGAAGTGATAAGAGGAGTATTTTAAGAACAACAGGAAAAATAAATGCCATCTCGTTGGATTTGATTGACCTAAGGCTCTACTGGATTCAACATGACCATGAGAAAGAAATTTCCCATATTGGATCATGTGATTATGATGGTGGGGCTGTTCGCTTGCTCAAAAACTCTTTTCGGTGAGTTTTTCAGAGCAAGTCAGAATTGAAACAGTCATTTTGGGGAGACAGAGTTAAGGTCTCCTCTTCTGTTTATTTTGTCTGTTCATAACACACTAGTGAGTATAAAGTATAGCAAAAATGGCCTGTCACTATATATTTAAAACTACCACTAGGAAAACGAAAAGTCAGAAGTTCTTTTCTGTGCTGTAGGAATAATACTGCTGCTCAGTACTCTTCATCTTCCAAGCTTTCAGCAAATGATAACTACTTAATCCTCAGGAATCCCCTCTGAGTGTTTGTTAGTGGCCTTTTTCTGCAGTTAGAGAAGCCAAAAACAAAGAGATTAAATGATTTGTCCAAGGTCAAAGTGGGTGAGCTCAAGTGTCTGAGCTGTGTTGAAGAGTCTGAGCTAGGTCAGGTCTTTCCTGTCCTTCTCTAAACTTGTCCTTCTTAGCTGTTGTCTGCGGAGGCTTGGATAGCCCCAGGGCTCAGTCTCTCCAGCAAACCTCAGCAGATCTCGTGAATCTCTCCTACGGAAGCGCCTGGCCTGGGCTGCGCACGGCTCTGCGCCTGTTACGTCCGTGTCCACTCGAGTGCCTTTAACATGTGGCCTTGGTGCTTTGCGGTGCTACACACGCTCCGTGCCAGGCGTGCACGCAGAGGAAAGCTGCCATGCGTCGCAGCAGCTTCCATCAGATTAATGCAAAGTTGGGGTTTCTCCCTGTATTGCCCGTTGCCTGGATTTTCTCCTTTCTACTTTGAGTTGACTCATGTTTCCTGAGCATCAGCACTTTTCCTGATAATACAAATCCTCCTTTTTCCACCTGCAATATGCTCTGGGATATGGAGGGTAAAAATCTTGCTTTTAATACTTCTTCTGCCTCCTCTTCTACCAAAACTGGACCCTTTGGTGATTCCTGTTGGCTGCTATAATTGACCAGAAAATAAGAGCTAACTTCACACAGCAGGGAAAGCTGCAAGGTGGACTTTAAGTGCACTCTCTCTACCCCGCAATTTCTTGGTAGTCAGAGGCTTCAGAAAAGACACTGAAAATTGGGAAATGGGAAGTTAACTGTCCTAGATCCTTCAACAAAGCAAGCATCCATTTTAGTTCCTGGGTTCAACAGAACCAGGGCAATACCTTGGTTTTCTCTGTGAGTTGAGCCATTCCTGAGCAACTGGCCATGTAACTTATAAGTAATGTTCATAGTTTTGCAGATGGTTCTCGCGAATGTGCGTGATTCTGGATGCTGTATCATTTGGAGATATCTGTGGCATCTCAATTTACTTGCTCATATATAAAATTACGTTGAATGCAGTTTTAAAAAAGGATTTTTAGCATGCACTTGGCTGAACTAGATGTGTAAATATGTATGAGTAAGTGTATCCGGATCCAATAGTGTGCCGCTTTGTGTTATTTTCTGTTTGTTACAGACATCAATTGCTTGGTATGTCTGTCTTTGCTGACCACCTCTACTACTCAGAGTCGAAATCTGGTATGATATGGAGAGCCAACAAGTATACTGGGAAAGTTGTAGTCACAATTAGCCTGAAACGATCGCTTTTTCCACCAGCGGAGATAAAAGTGGTGCATCCTTTCAAACAGCCAGGTGCAAGAGAAGATTCTCATGATTTTGGTAAGTAAACAGCAGTGATACAGTTAAATGCAAGAGAGTTATAATGTAATATACTCTGATTTTTTTTCAGCAAAAATCATGAATAGAGGAAACAGTCTTCAAAGAGACTTTGCCCTTTAAATGCTTAGATGCGTTGAGCTGCAGAATAGAAAGTGCCCTTGGAGATAAAGTTTATACTTTTGAATACAGGGAGCCTTCATTCAGAGACATTCCCTGTTTTGTGCTTTCTTCGAGGAAAAGCATTTTTATCATCTCACACATTTGTTCTGGTCACGAAAGGAACCCAGGGAAGGATGCATTTGTCATGTAGGTGATGACATGTCCACACATGGCTCAAGGTTGTTGCAGTGCCATTTCAAAAACCCTGAGTAATGTTGCATGAAGGCGGCTTGGACATTGTCAGTCACCATGTCTGCGTATGCATGAAGATGGAGAAGGAGAAACGATGACCAAGAAAGGAGCTACTCGTTGTGTTACTTGTGTTCACAGGAGTATTTAGCATAATGCTCATTGACTGTAGGTGCTTGGGATTTATTTTCTCAGAAGATTAACTCCCTTTTGTCCCCCAGAACATGCTGCTTTCTAATGCTTCTCTCTCTACTAGAAGCAGCTTCCACTCTCACCCTCCCTTTTCCTTGGTAAATACACCACTAGTGTTTTAAAATGCCTTATAATAGCTACTGCTCTGTTTTTAACTTGTCTTTTAAAAGTGTAACAGTAAGTGGTATCAACAGCAGGGCTTATTATTCCAAATACCTCTTGTAAAAGTCTGGGAAGTGATGGAGTAGAAAGAAGCTTACCAGGCTGCATCCAGATGTACCTTTTGGACCTTAGCTAGAGAAAAATTAATCAGTTTGATGCAAAAAAGTACGATTGTGTTGCTTTCAGCTAAACTGAAATCTCTGTCCAGGAAAATTTTTTTTATTCATGTGATGTGGCATTCTCTTAATTGGCCAGCTTCTTCACTGTTCTGAGTAGTAGAAGATTGAATGTTGAGCTTAAATATTATCCTGCTCTCCATTTCTTGGAATTCAAACGGCGAATTGGAAATAGCCCAAGAGTTTGTTCACATACAAATAGATTCTCTGTCTGTATAAGCCCACGATTTCTTTTATGTTACACAGGCAACACAGGACAAAAAGTTGTGTGTGGGTGGCTGCATACGTTCAGTAGCAGCAGATCAGCTATTCTTAGCTTGGAAAAGGTGCAAGCAACCCCAGAAATTTAGGAATATTAAAACCAAAATAATAGTTTGGGAGACCAAAATAAAACTTGAAGTGTTACATATCTGCAAAGGCACCAGCTGTAAAAGATACCTGGGTACAGATAAGAGGCTACAAATCCTTCCCATAAAAAAGAATTCTTAAATATCTACTTGTCTTTTCTTGTGAGAAAAGTCAGAGCACTCATGGAGATGTGTTGGGTATACTTTTCTGTTTCCTTTTAAGAAACTTTGAACATATCTTTTATCTCTTGGGGCATCAGCAACATTCCGACTTTTTGGGACACAGGGTTATAAAGATTTATAATGCAAGCATTTCTAATTGTCAGGAACCCAGGATCCACCTCAGTAGAAACTCTAAACTGCTAATATTTTTTGTCTTAATGAAATATACTGTAAGTATCTTATAATCTATCTAGTTGTGTTGTACTTCTTTGTCTTAATATTTCCAACCCTTATACTTCCACTTTCTTTTTTTTCCCCTTTTCCCCCTTTTTCTCTCTTCTTTTTTTGCCTTTTATCTCTTGCTCTGTTTTTTCCCCCTTTCCTCTTTTTTTTTCCCTCCTTTTCTTTCTTGTGCTCTCCAAGCATTTTACTGAGCCTGGTAACACAGAATGATGTGTGGCTTTGGCTGCATGGTAAGCCTGCTATATGGAGCTCTCATGTGAACAGAGGTAGAGCAAAGGATCAGGAAGACAGAAGAATCCCTGTTAGTTCTAGTCATCCTACTTCTTGTTTGGATCTTCTGAAGATCCTTCCATGCTCCTGGTATGCCAGCTATCCACCTGCCAAAATCAAGGCATTCCCTACTCCAGGTTCCCTGTAGTTCTGTCTTGTGCTGACAGGGAGCTAGGTCTGTGTGAACGATCATTTCTATTCCTACTCTTTTAACTACCTTCAAAATAGTTGCATTATGTTTGTTCTTCCAGAAAAAGTATCCTGTGATCTGCACAAAGAAAAGTGCAGAAGGAGAATCTGCAGGACAGACTCAAGGACTCATCGGTGTAAATGTTCTAGTGGCTTTATTTTGAGTCGAAATAGACAGTTTTGTGAAGGTAATACTTTTCCATCAGCCTAACTCCAATACATGACAAAGCTTCTTTGTTCTTCTATTACAGTTATATTTTGAATATGACAAAAAACCTCTGAGATTTGAAAAATTCCAGTTGTCATTTCATTTCTGTGTCCTTCCAGGTTCTCATGTAGTCTAAGAGGAGACATACTAAAGTGTCACAACAAGTGCCGTCCCTGGGAGGAAATTCTCCTGAGTAGAGAAGCTTTAGATAAATAGGGCTGAAAAAATCAACCCTGAAAAATTAAAACAAGTAACACCACCAAAGCTGAAGTGTTGAAAGATTTTTGAAACAGGATGAGTGTCTCAAGTCCCACTTTCAGAAATGTCTTGAATCCGTAACTTCTGAAAGTTTCAATATGGATATTTTAAAATAATAATGATAATAGAATACTTTAGAAGCATCCTTTTTCCACTACAGGACCAGATTTGCAAAGTTATAAAGGCACTGAGAGATAAAAGCTTTTAGATTTCACAGAAGTGCATAAACAGAGCAGCAACCCACTTCTCAGAAGACCAACTGCAAACACTTTCCAAAATGGAAATTCTAAGCCACTTCTTTGTTTCAAGAATTTACTTGAGTCACATTGAAACCAGATTTTGTAAAAGTTTTGTATCTAAAGAAAATATTTAATGGCATTTTGTGGGGAGTGGAGGAGGCTTCACACAAGAGGCCACAGGAATCTGCCCATTACGTGTTTTATAGATACAACTTGAAGAGGGAAAATTTCTGAGCTGAGGTTTTGTCAATATAATTATAAGCAAATGCCTTTGCTAGAAGTTTTCTAACACTTGTTTTGAATATGCTGTGCCATCTGGCCTTTTTTCATTTATTAGCATCACCATTTTTTGAAAAAAAAAAACAAAAAACACAGAACAAGGGAAGACTGATAGTTTGCTATATTAATCTAATATATTAATCTAATTCCCTGACACTGGCTGATGGCCTTATTCTGACACAGCGCTTCTCTTGGCAGATATCAACGAATGTGGCTTTTGGAATCATGGCTGCACTTTGGGTTGTGTGAACATCCCTGGTTCCTATTACTGCACCTGCCCGAGAGGTTTTGTTCTGCTGCCTGATAGGAAAACATGTCATGGTAAGTATTAGTAGCACATAAACCCTCCCAGTGTGATACTGGAGAGAGTCCTTACTTAATACTTCAATCACTGGAAGTCTTGTGTGTTCATTGCTCTCTTCCAATCCCTTGTTATGTAAGCAAAATCAGCTTAAACTGAGTGAACCAAATTCAGAGGTCATGTTTAAGGAAGTGTAAGATACATGTGCTTGGTCAGGTGTGAGCCTCCTAGGAGCAGAACCGAGGCGCGTCTAATGCTTCTGTGTATCTGGTGCAAGGTGTCTGGGTACAGCCCTTACGTTGTATATTCAACTGATAACTAAATTAAGCTCGTCTAAACTAAGCCTAGATCTTTAAATGTGCAATGCATCCAAATTTTGAGGTCCTGGAGTATTCCCAGTCACTTTCCTGCTTCATAACGTGAAATTTAAGCATATGCAAGGATTCCTTGACCTTGTTTCCAAAGAAAACAAACATTAGTATATGCCCCAGCCAGAAGTGCCTGTGCACACTGCTTGGTTCAGGCCATGCTATGGCAGAATAAGGACTTACAGAATATTAAATATCAGTACTGATGTGTATATGCAGCCATAGAGTTGCATAGACTCTGCAAGCTGATTTGATTGTCTGTTGTAGGCCTTCAAAAGGCACTTCTTTCTTTCTTTTAAATGTGAGCTGGAAACAAGACTGAGTGGCCTAACCATGGGGGTCTAGGGTATGTAGCACAGCTGCATAAGGCAGCAGAGACATATGGGAGTTCTGGAGCCAGAGGCCGCTGGGAAGTAGGATAACCTTAAACACCCAAGATGAACGTAGGCACTGCGTAGCTTTTTCCCAGTCTTGATGGTTAGCTTAAACTATGCGCATACATTTTGGGTGGCTCAAATTAGGTAGAAAATAGAGTTTTTCCAGCCCAGGCTGGGGATGCAGCATGGACTTTATAATTCGATTAAGTGTTGCAGCACAAGGCAGGTATGTCACGGTCTACACTAGTTGGGAGACAAGTGCAAGGTGTGAAGACACCAAACATTTTGATGCTCGGTCTTCCAAGTCCTAATGAAGCTCTTCAGTCTAAAGCCACAAGCTCTGGTCATAAATAAACATGAGATCAGTTTCTTGATCCTGTTTTCTGTATTTAAAGGGTTAGAACAATCCAGTCCAGAGGCAGTTGCCTTGGAGAAGGAGTATTTGCAATAGCTATGCACCATTTAAGCTAGTGTATGCTGCTGATTCAAAGAAGCAGCTGTGGGAAACATGTATTAATTCTTCCAGTCTTCCAGCAGATGTTGCCATATGGCACTGTGGGAGGTATAAAAAGATGTAGCACTGCAATACAGAAGCTGGAAGGAGGGATATCCAGTAAAATTGCATAAAAGAGAAAGAAATTTAAAGAAATGTTCAAAGATGTATTGACATGGCGCAATGTCAACAATTATAATAGAAAATAGAGGAAAGATATTGCCAGGTCCTCCACTGGCATTGCCCTTGTACTTTCAAGATTTCCCACTAAGGCATTTAATTTTATTTCTGCAAGATTCATCTTCTATTTCCATGGCTCCCAGCTTTGTTCGTAGGAAAGCAGTTCTTCGTCGTTTTCTGTATGTTTTTACTTACTTTTTAGGTATAACTTCCATGCATTTTTAAAGCCTGATACTTTTTTTTTGGTGAAATTTAAAGAGGATTTTCTAAATTTCTAGATTTTTTTTCTAACTCTCCTTCATAAAATTTTGGAAAATATAAAGCTAATTGGTGTAATGGTTTCAGAAACCCTGAAGCCATTTTGGCTTTCTTCTTTGCTACGGTTAGGAGTCAGTGATTTGCCAGGGAGGATTGGGAAACAGAATTATGATTCTCTCTGCCATTATGCTTTTTTACTAACTAAGGAAGCATCAACATATCTTTGTTGGGGGGGAGTTAATGAATTATTTTCTTATCGTTTAAGAATGCTTTTCTTTTTTCAATTACTGTAGAGCTAATTTCCTGTGTAAGTAACGTCACCAAATGTAGCCATGGGTGCGTTCAGACATCCAAAGGGCCTGTTTGCTTTTGTCCTGAAGGATCTGTACTCAAAGTGGATGGCAAAACATGCACAGGCAAGTATTTAACATTTTCCTAGTTCTGGTTCTACTGACTGCCAAAATCTGTCTCTTCTTGACACTAAGAAGTGAAGGATGGCATTTTACATTCATTTTGCATGACTGTAAATGATTGTAAAATTGAGTAGAGATGAACATTCCTCTTCATATTTGACAATATGTTAACAATAACATCCTGTATTTGTAGGTGGAATTCTTACGTTGTCAGTGCTGATTGAAGCATCTTGCAGATGCTTGTTGCAGGAGAGAGATCTACATTTGACTAGAATCATGTGTAAAATTAGGAATTGGGTGAAATATGATAATAATTTTATCAGCCTATGCTACCCAGGTTCCTCATCCCAATCAAACATTTTCATCTGATTGCCCAGAGATGAAATGTTTGCAGCCGGCATAGTTGGAGATATTTGGAGTTGGTGTGGGAGATGTAACCACTGTGCAGCCCCAAGAGGAAAGAATGGTTTCTTTTCAA